AAAAAAAAAAAAAAAAAAAAAAGACAGCAAGATTAAATAGTAAATCTAGATAAGAAGAAATTTTTAGAGAGAGAATATTGGTTACATTTAAAACAGATATACATAGTTGCTAGGTTTCCATAGGTTTGTAAGAAGTTAACCAAAATTTTAAAAAATGCTTTCAACACACATGCACACAATTTACAAATAAAAACATCAGGCTCTAAAAAGTGGCAATTATTTTTAATGTTTGAACTTACAACGTTTTCCAGAGATGTGTATAGAGTGAAACATAGTATTATGTTCACAAAAGACAACCCAGTTTTGTGAAAACCATGAAAAAGAGTGCTTGCTCTTGAGCAAGGAAAATTTTTGTTTCCTGACATCATCAAAGAAAAATGTGAAAGATCTGATATAAAAGGAACAAAAACGTACAAATCCTACTACCTCATTCCTCAAAACTGTATAAACACTTGCAGAATTTTCCTTCATCTATTAATTTTTCCCTAAAGCAGCCAGCCCACACAGACTTGGGGGCATTCACATGTCAGAATATTCCACCAAGATATGGGAACACATATTTTTGGCAGAAATATCAGTAAATGTGCAGGGAAAGACTGCTTGTGAAATAATTCAGAGTGATGCATTTAGTCAGAACCCCTCTGCAATGACAAAATATTAGCATCACACTTAATAACATTCTTGGGAGTGTTCAAAAGACACAGGACAGTGTAAACTCTTAAAACAAGTGGAGTAGTTTTTATGTAAACAGAGAAGTTCCAAAATTGCCTCATTTATACTCTACGTAAAAGTGTGTTTTCATAATAAAATTCTAAAAGCAACACAGAAATCTGCTTGGCTGGACTTTACTTATATGGACCTCTTAAATAAATATTAAAGTACGGCAACATGGTGTAAAGGGAATTAGGGCCAGAAAGATCTGAGTTCAAATTTTAGCTCCTCCAGCTACTAGTTTTGTTAGCTTAGGCAAGTCACAATCTCTCTGAACTTCAACGTCTTTGTTACCAAAATGGGTACAGTATTCCCCATACCTGAAGGTTTGTCCTAGTAGGCAAAGGGATAATATATTTAAGTGCTATCACAGTGTGTGCAAATCACAGGTATTCAATAAGTGTGAGCTCTCTCCTAGTTTTCCCAGAAGACACAACAAAATATTTCTCTCTTAGTTTGGTCTGAGCCAAAGCAAGTGGTTAAAGAGTAAAATAAAAAGGGCAAGAGAATCTCATCCTAATACTATCCAAACAATCTTTCCATTAATTATGCAGTTATATAAAACCAATATTTAATAAACATCATGAAGTTTATTGGTATTATCCAGGTAATGCATTATTACCCGAATAGATACTCTCTTGCAAGTTGGCTTTTAATTTTGTTTAATTTTGCTGACTTAGCAAAATACGTCATTAACCCTTCATTCAGATCATAAAATAGTTATGCTCTTTTGGGAAGATTAAGCTCCTCTGGATCCCAGGTAAAAGTTATTCTCCTACCCAGGGGTCTGAGGAAAATAGTGTCATGGAAAGAGAAACGGTGAAAAGTTAAAGAAACTGTCTTTCAAGGCTGACGGTGTAATGAAGTAGCCGCTGATGTCTCACTGCCTGGAGACCAAAGTTCCCTAATTCATGCCTTGAACCTATCCATGCCCTAGCCCCAGCCCCCATGCACTTTAAAAGGGCCACGAGCCCCCTGAAATTGCAGAAGCACAGAAACAGCCCTTGGAAGGCTTTGGAAACAGGTTCTTAACATGGAAGCTGCGGCTCACCGGGGGTTCTGGAGCCCACCCTGCCTGTCACGTTGCATCTCAGCCTATTCCGTTCCTTCTTCTCAGGAGGCTGCCCGCTGCCCACTTCCCTCCTCTGCAGGCCTCGTCTACCCAGCCCACCGTGCCAGGGGGTATACGATCTCTCACCACTGTTGTGTTATTTCCTGCGGGGCCTTACACAATCCGTCGTGACCTTGCTTGCGGGCTGAAATCGCCCGACCACACGAAGAGCAGGACGCTGGTGCCTCTCCGGGGCCTGGGCCCTCGGGGGTCTCGAGAGAGACTTCTGGAATGAATGACAGGCCCGTGTCCGCCAGATATCTAACGGACGATCTATCCCCGCCCAGCCCCCAGAATTCTTCTCGGGAAATAATATTTAAAATCACTCGTTTTCATTTTGAAAATAAGGCTTTTAGCATTTCAACCACACCCATTCACCCGCGTTTCCGACAGTCGGAGCTGCCACCCGGGCCCACTTACCCAAGCCCACCAGGCCGGGCAGTTTAGGGGCGACCAGGGCAGGGGCGGCCTTGAACGGACACGCGCATCAATTCACTCTCTGGGCCGCCGTCCTGGGGCAGAGGGGCTGGGCGGGCACCGTGGACCCGGAGGAGCCACCTCTAGGCCTCCCGGGGCCTCCACCCCACCGGCGGTCGCGACCCGACACCCTCCCTCCCTCTCTCCC